TGATATGTAGCTTGATTAAAGAAGTTCGAGACACTTTCTATTGAAAATTTCTATTGTAGTCGAGGGAGAAGTGAAATATTAAAATTTTGTTTTCATTCTTAAACGCATGTGTCGTATAATGTGTGCGTCTGTCTTGATAAAACTTGATTACGATTAATTTAAAATGATTAATGATAATCATTGTCTATCACTGGTCAAATATCACTTGGTGTTTACGTGACATAATGGCAATTAATTGGCATCGACGCAATCTGAAGGTAAAGGTATAAATTTCTTTTCTGAACTTATTGAAAATATAGAGATTGCACGGAATGCTTGCCTGCCGCACAACTACCAAACGTAAAATTAATAGTCAGTTTTTACTACGCACAGCAACTAACGGCCGGAACTCTCCTGGTGGGAGGCCATAAATTTCAGCGGCACAGATTCAAAATGATCTCCCTTATTGCATGCAAGCTGAGTTAGTTTCGCTTTGGCCTGCCTCTTGTACAGTCGCACCGCCGGTCTCGCGCCGGGGAATGCGTATACTTCTCCCTTTCCTTTTTTCTGCTTTACCGCGAACTTTTATTGGCCGAAGCAATTAATTGTATGATCACGTGTTACTTCTATGCACGATATGGCTCGGCCATATTGACTGACTTTTTGCTGCAATGCCGAAGTGTATAATTGTAACAAATTAGTGATTGAAAAATAAAAGCGTGTTTGTGCATATTTATAAATATAATGAGTGTGATAATGAGTGTTGTGACATAAGCGGACGCGCGGAAAAATATGTATTAATTTTGCAATAAATTGTGCTTATAAAATCGAAATGATTATATATAAATGCACAGAAATTTTTAGTTTGCATTTTAAAAGAATTTTTGAAGCAACAGACTAAACTTTTTATAAAATTGGAGTCAACATCTTATACATTTTACTTTTAATTATTTAAAATTGTGTAATAGAAAATTTACAAGAATAAAATGTGAATTAAGAGTAAGTGAACGAGAGAGTGGATCTTTCTTTAGATTATTTTGCAACAATGGATTTTAGTTTGTTTTGAATTGAAAAAGGGGAAAACATATAATTGCTGCCATCTGTTGGTGATCTCTACAAGATAGTATTAGAGTACATGCAAAAGATGACGCTGCTGCAGCAATTTGTAGAGCTCTTCTCCTCTATAGCAGTCTTACAATGAAAAAACAATTTATTAATTATATTACGTGTAGAATTTAAACTTTTCTTTTTAAATGAGATTAGATGAATTAATTTATGAATAAGTAATTAAATTTACAAAATAAAATATATTATTTTAAAAAAGGAAAGATTTATTTATTTGTCAGAATCTTTTATAATTGTTACTTTTAGGTTTTAAAGCAATTTTGAAATTTTAAATATATTTAAAAATGATATCCTTAAATTCATTTTTACATTTTATAACACATGTAACGTTATATAGATTTATAGAGATAAAATATATTTCAACGGTTTATTTTTATTATTTTTAATTTTTGTAACTATGAGAAACAGTGATAGTTTAAAACATTGTTAATTTAATTTAAAAATTAAATTTTTATTTTTTCTCAAAATAAATTCTTTACAGCGTTTTAAGGATTAGCAACAGTATTCTTAAATGGCCTATCAATTTAATTTATAATATTACATACCACTTATATTACTTTTTGTTTCTGTACTATTTAATATAATTATTTAAATATATTTAATATAAAAAATAAACGATTAATAATAATTCACATCTGTAGAAAAATGAAGACACCTACTGTTTCATTTTCATTTTGTTCTAGGAAATTTATTTCTGAGATGAATGCTTCCTCCTTTTTATTCACAGAGCATTTATAAAAATTTTAAATTATATTAATCTTAATATAATGTTAGAAGATATACATTTTGAATTTTTAATAATGTTTTATTGCAAATGTTTATTTTATATTATTATTTATATAAATAACTGTATTTTTTTACGTTTAATAACAATGTCATTTCAATGTAATGAGTTATTGTTTTTTCAACTTATGAAATGATTAAATCTTTTTAAATAAACCGTATGATTATTTGCGCGATCATGTGTTATTCTTTCTGTATTGTATAATCTACTTATCAAATTGCAATCTAAGTGTGTCGTAGGTATTTTATATATACAAACACATTTTTCTTTAGCGTAATTTAATGATAAAAATTAAATATATATACGTATGTCGCATGTTGCTCGCTCATATATTTTGTTTTTTTTTATACTTTTATCACGATATAAAATATGTCAATTGCGCAAAAACTGTATTGCGTCTTTTTTCTATGGGTTTCTCGTTAAATTTGGAAGTCATTTTATAAAAGAAATAAATAATTTACAAGCAAACAGTAATAATATTTCTATATTTAAATATAAAATTGTATAGAATATCTTTTAAATTCTGCGTATGTTTACTAACAGCATAGTTGCTTCGTGGCGGATAAATGCATCTATAATTTTTATAGATATGTGATAATAAAGAGAAAAAATTATTTCTACACGTGGAATTTACCTACAATGAATACTTGTCTACTTTGTCGTACGTACGCGATGTTCATTTCTCGTCGCCACGAGGGTAAACGTTTTATGCACGGCGCTCCAAATACTGCAGCCATTTTATATAGATTGCAATGTATTGATCGTCTCCGCCAACTGCCGACATTGTACGTAGTATCAGAATGACAGGCTGGCAGATGGAATCGCAACTTCCTCTTCCCTCGCCACCACCTGCCATCACGATCCAACCCCCTTCAATGCTTTGGACTGCCTGCCAACCCCTCGTCTCCGCCTATGCCTATATATATGGATAGCTAGCTCCACAAGTCGCAAACATATACATACGCACACGCACACATACACACGTACTTCCACGAAAACATATCTTTTTAATTAAAATGGCGTAACTACGTGTCACTCACGCTATGAGTATTTGAACTATGTCGACTTGTCAAGAGTTCTTGAAGTTCTTACGCTATTTTACAAAAATTATTATTATGATATATTTTTGTCTAAAAATAATTCATATATTTTATATATAAGGATATGTTACACTTGTCATATAATTTTAAAGTTATGTTGTTACGTTTAATCTCTCGCAGTTTCTTATTACCCCATGTCTCGTTCTCCTAAAAATCTCTTTCTTGTAGGAGACGCGCGATAGATTACCTCCGTAAAGCCGCGATAACATGTTCACGTTCGCATCCACTTCACTTTGACAAATGATCGCCTTTTGCGGAATCTCTCGCGCCTCTTAAACTATATACATTACGATGTTTTACAGTTCATTATTATTGTCCACAGAAAAACTTTTTTTTTAATAATTTCAAAAAGCGTCCAGGACAACGGCAGAAGAACACTTTAGGATAACAGAAAATAAACGTAGGTCAATATTGGATATGTGTGGATGATGGATATTACGCGGTGTTTGTTGTTTGTTACTATAGGTATTACATTAATACACAAAGAGGAATCTGAGAAGAATCGGAGGAGAGATAAAAGAATAAAGAAGGAAGACGAAAAGCGCAGAAGAAAGTAAGAGGGCAAAGCAAAACGCGTCTCTTACTATGTCAAGTATAAGATAGGGTGGTCTTCATCCGCAAAAGTGCCCCACGGGAGCTGCGTCAACGTCCTACAGAAGAAGCAGAACCCCCTTCGTTTCTCGATCCTTTGGTCTTTCAAGTTACCTCTTCATGGATCTTACGAATGGGCAGGATCACAACGGCAACGAGTTTTCTGGACGGACGTCACTCAGATTCCGACCTTCTACCATTCTTCTTTCCCCGTTATGATTTATGGATTCATTAATGTAACATACAACACTTTCTCGGCCGCGGGAAAAGGGAATGTTGATTAACTATTTTATTTTTGATGCTAAAGCAAATGTAATATATGACTATATCGTCTATATCGAATTGCTACTCGTTCCCTAACAAACTACAAAGAAACGAATTGCTTTTTAAATAGATTTTGTTAACATTTTACGCCTGAATTTATATTAAATACTTTATTTTTAATAAATAATAGAATGTTGAAAGCTTTTAAAATGAAAGCATTTTAGCACACTATCGTATCTTATGGCAATAAAGCGTATCATGAGCTTCGTGCAAGTTTTTATAGCTATCTATAAATGTGGCAGGTTATAACATTCGGGATAATAAAAGTACTATAAAATTTAAACTTGTAATTAAAAAGATTAACAAATTTCAAGTTTTATCTTCTTTTATATAATTTTTAAATAAGCTGCGAAGAACAAGAAAACTCGTGAGAGTATACAATATTTTTAAACAAGCTTTATAATTATTTCTGTCAGCGCAGTTTGATATACAATAGCTGTAACGAAAAACGTTTTTTAAAAAAGACAGAAGTAAAATAATCTTAAATTTCAGCATAGTGGGCGGCATTGCAGATGCCTGTTATAGTCCCTAACCCGCCCACCTCAATTCAGATTCAGCTCAATAACATTAGCTTAATCGTTTAAGCTTTTAATTACGTTGGCTTATATTCATCCTACAGAAAATCTAGCTGCGTACGATTTACTAAACTTTTCTGTAAACATATTAACAATTTCGAAAAATAATTTTAGAACCGTAGTTATGTTGCTTGTGTCATATATGTATATATATAATTGAAATTTCATCCATACAAAAGCAAATTAATAGTTTAAATTTTTGAAGAACGAGAATTAATTGTTATATTAAACTTTTTAATTATTCTTACACAATTAAAACTCTGTTATCTATTTGCGCTATTGAATTGTTCAAGTAATAGTCACATAGAGCAATTTGATTTACACAGAATAAGACGCTGCCGATACTTTTATGGCAACTTCAATTTCAGATTCAAATTTGTCGCGAGTTACGAATGCGAATCAGTTGCCGCGCCGAAGAACAGAAAAGGAAATCGACTGGCTATCGATTGGATTATTATTCCAAGCATGCCTCTTGGACGTCCATTCCTTCTGAAACATTCCACGATACGATACATGGTGCCAGTCGAGGACCAACGCTTCTTCGTGAACGTGCTAGTGTGGCGCAATTGGAATACGCTTGCGAAACAACCAATCTCGCAGGAGGTACTCGCTTTTTAGATAATGCTTCTCGATACTTAATATTTGCTTTGAGACAGTTGATTCTATTATAGTTCTTACTAAATCAGTATGTAAAAATTTGTATATATTGCGTCGTTCAAATTTTTATTTAGTAGTTTAATTTACATAGCACATTTCTGTTAAGTGTGAAAGTAATAAAATATCTATACAAAGTATATATCTTTTATGGTATAATTAAAATAGTATGTCAGTGCGTATTTAGAAAACTTTTTGTTAAATTTTATCTGTCAATATGTTACTTCACTGTTGTCGCGCTGGACTAAGCAGTCTTTTATGGCAATGACCCCTAGTGAATTAATCAATAAATACGTACACTGCGTGAACTACATTACGGTTTGCCTGTAAACGGTGTCTGGGAACGCAGACGCATTGCTCGATGGCCAAATATATTTTCGGTTATTCAATTATCTACATTTAATTATCACAAAAAATATGTATATGCGAATATTAAAAAATTAATCATTTAATTATTTTGATTGTTCCTTGTAAATATGTATGGAATAATTTTCTGTGACGGACACTGAAAGGTATTATTAATTGACCGCTATGTTATGCGCGAATTAAGCCGTGCATTTAATGATTAATCTCTGTTCAGGTGTCTAGTCAGTCTCTAGTCGAAGTGTAAGCGGATTGGTTTGACGAAGACCTGCTCAAAGTTCCGAAAATGATCAGGAGACAGAGATCCTCATGTTGGTGTCAGAGATTCATCCACATTCGCAACTTTACCCAATGATGAGACGTAAGCAAACTTTAGGAAGACATATTGCGTGTGAGTTGAGAATGACAGGTGGAGAGGTGGCTGAGTGGTATATGACATAGGGCCGATGTTATGAAGAGACGAATAGTACGGTTGCGATTTATCGAGTTAGATTCCTAATCCTACTTTGTTGAATTTTACTTTTCTAGCATGCAATAATGTTTACCTCCTTCGTTTCTTTACATACTTTTGAATTATTTAATATTGTGTTAGAAAATGAATGATCTTTAATATCTGCAACGAAAAGAGGATTACGCATCGCTCTCAAATAAAGCATGTTGGACAGCATTGCTTTTCTTGCTTTTATCGTTCTCGTTAAATATTTTTCTCCATGATTAATCTTAAGTTGTATCTTTCAATTTCACATTTATAATTTCCATGAACTGTTTTCTGTGTTTATATCACAGACATGCAAAATATCTTATGCTGCTTCTTTATTGTTCGTTGTTTATCTTTCATATTTTTTGCTTCATTATTTTCCCCTTCTTTCCCCGACGATATTTTTGATGAATAAAAAGGCATACAACGGCTCATCGCTGTCTGCTTGATTCTTCTATCTTATCGTGATTCGACTCTTTCGCTGTTTTAAGCATCCCCCTCGCAAGCCGCGTGTCCTTTCTCCTTCTACTTAACTTTTTCTATCTGTTATACATACACACACGGCTAACTCCTCCGTCTCCTTCCGTCGCTAAGCGTCGATGGAGGCACGCTCTACGGCACAACCCTCACCCTCCGACATAGACACGTTCTCTCTCCACTCTTCTCGTTTCCCTCTCGTGTCAGCCTCCGCAGCTTCAGGAGCAGAGAGACGATCAATACGTCGCTCTAGAACGGAGAAGGAACGGAAGCTACGTCATTGGGAGACTTTGGTGCTCGTGGGGAGCGGAAAGGGGCCGAGGTAAAGGGACCTTTTCCAGGCGATTCCTCGAGAAGCAGAGGAGAGGAGACCAGGCCTGGCTCAGACCAGATATGCCCAGCTATGAGCGCGAAAAGATGATGAGACGAAGGGTGGCCCGTAGGTTTTGCATCTCTCTTTCTCTAGCGGGGCGGTTGACAGGGACTCCGGGCCGAGACTGTACGACTCGAACCGAACGTCAACGAGCGCAGGGACGGCTATGCGATCGGTCTCATCCGACGTTGATAAACTTATCAGGGAGTGTTCGTGATTTTTACCGTTTTGCTATGTGATCTAACAATAAGAAACTTTTAATGTTTTTCTCTCGGTGTAAATACTCATTTGGTGTTTACTAGTCGCATGAAGCAACATCGATTACCATGTCCGAGCCTTACTTCAAATAATCCAAACAATATTTTTTTCGTAAAAAAATAAATAAAACATTTTTAAACGTAAACTAACGTTCTGAGAAATATTTACAGGTGCTATTTACAGAGAAATTTGCGCGATATCGATAATTTTACTTAAACTTTTACAAAAACTGTAATTGTTGTACACATATAATGAATATATCATATATCTTATGTATGCTCTTATAGAATTATCTTTTTCCAATTCTTTGATAGTTCTTGACAGTTACAAAATTTATTCCAATTTTATTCAAGAGTATCTTATGATATAGAAAAACTTTATTGATTGGCGTGCAAGCGACAGATTGTTACGTATAAATTTTCAACTATTTTTGATTATAGATTTGTTTTAGCTTTTCGACGAATACGTGCAAATATGAGATTAATTTTTTTATTAGCTAACAATAATTGATGTATTAACTAGCAATTAATCTAACAATTCTTTATATTAAGGATTATGAAACAGTATTTAATAGTTTCGTAATATATCGAGGAAGAAATTTAACTTTTTAAAGCTTCCAATTATATGATTGATATGCTAAAGTTACTTATTAATTCTGCACATAAATATAATAAATATGTAGAGAATAAATATAAGAATCTTTTTCGAACAAAGTGCATCATATTTATTCGTAATTTATAGCTTATTAGCGTAATTTTTAATGAAAAGAAATAAATAAGCAATATATTTTTATCTCAGAATATAATATAAGCTCGTACTAAAATAAAACTGTAATTTATTAACAAAAACTCTTAAAGGAGAAAGCGGAAAATAAAAAAAGAGAGAGTGATATGAAAGAATTTCGAATAAAATTTGATTATGAAAATTAATACAACTTGACGAATACTAATGTTTCTATTATTAGTAGTAATAGAATTGATAAATGCTACTAAGTATCGAAATTGCGATGTATCGAGTTGCGAAGGCACCACGTAAACTTACGGCCCTGTGCTGTGGCATCCCCCGTGCCGGAGTGAGGGTGCGTGCGGTCCAATCATCGCAGAATCCGGAGAAAGCCCCTGGCTTCACCCGGGCAGCCGTGGGAGAGACGCCCCGCAACTCGAGGATTCGCTTGTCGCCGAATATCTTCTGTATCCGAGTCGTAAAGGACAGTCGGCGGTATACAGCGTTTGGTTAGAGGGGCGTTGGCCCGTTCTTTTACCCTGTGTGCCCTTGCAAATCTTAAAGAAAGCTTGGTTCCATCAGAAACCTCATCACCTTGAAACGCCTGACAAACTTGATTGGCACGCGAGGCTCTAGTGACAAACTCAAATCGACCTCGGTTGACCTCGAGGATAAATCAAATGTGAAATAATGCCAAACTACGGGGGAACTCTTAGTGTTTTTCGAGCGATTCAAGTGTTTTTCTCCTTCACGCACGAATTTGTACAGTTTGTTAATAACAGTTATCTAATACGGTTCCGTCATGAGCGAGCGTGCTAAATGTGTATTAAATTGTGCATGAATGTGAGTTCGTTTACTCATAGAAATATATTTTGTATCATTTCTCGCTATGTCTTATCAATGTATGTTTGTAATTAACAGATTGCGTTGTGATGGTTTAATTGTTACGGTCCGAAGAGAGATATTATTCTTTGCATACGAATATCTTCGAAAATTATATTTTCGCATGATTGTCCTTATTCTAAACTTTTTATTGTATGCAAGATATACATTGGTTGTAAACAAGTATTTTATATATGAATAATCACGTGTGTATACGTCTATACATACGTATATTTTTATGTATACATAGTTTTATTCGTCTTCTATTCAAGCATGATTTCTACTGGCATGTCTTTTCGCACTTGTAATAATACTTTCTTTCATGAACATGTTGTCTAATTATAATATTTTAGTATATTGGCTTTAATGAATAAGTGGTTAGTACCTCGCATTGTTGCATCCATATTTACATGACGCATATTTATATTTGTGTAATTATAATATTGTCAACAGAAAAATTTTTTGGTAACAGTAAGAGTAGTTATTAGTCAGACAAATCTCATTACCTACCTTATTGTTATAAAATTGTATCTCAGTTTTTTTTAAATTATATATATTTTTACTTCTAGAACTATATATGTATCCTCCACCTTCCTCTGTGCCTTCATATCAAATTCAACGCCAATACACATCATGAAATAATCGATAATTTATCATTACTAAATTAACATGCTGTAAATACAAATATTTTATCTACATTCGTACTATTCAAAGAGGATATCAAGCATTGGCCCTCATGATATTCGTTGATAAATACAAAATATCGAAGCGCGACAGCACGTGAGTATCTTGAATAACAAGTATTTTGATATCTGTACTATATTATTTGAAAAAAAAATAATATAAAATTTTGAAATCTTTCAATAATTTTGATGTGAATGATGCATAGGTGATCATGGTATGAAGCACAACACAATGTGCTAAATCAAGTATTAAAATCGAGGAAAGGTAATCGTGTCAGGTAGGCGCTATTATAATTCACGACTTCCTTTAACCGTACCCCGGATATGCATGCCGGGTCACGTCCTGTTTCAGCGGAGGTTTTCCGGCGTCACGTACGCTGGCGCGGCTAGAGCTAAACTTTTAATCTGTCGCAGCTTTAAATAGTCATGTCTGTTATTTGAGCTTCATATCAGATTTGATTGGTTTGAAATTCTTTCATTCTTCCCCTTTTTTTTGCTACTAACCAAAAATTATTATATAATTTAAATGGAAAAATGATGAGGTTATTACTTTAATCATCATATTAGTTTCAGAATATCAAAAGGCACAATCGTATGCTTAAAACAAAACTGTACAAAATAATTTATAAATATGATCGAGTAGAATGGATATTAAATTGAAAATTTTGTTGCAGATTACTACTATGTGGGAATGACAAGGCAAGATTGCAAAGAATAGGCACATTCGTGATCTACCCTGTAGATCCGGGCTTTTGTAGAATGTAAATATCAGAAGCTCGACTCTACAGGTATCTTACGGATGACATGCCACGCGACTCTAGATTGCGATGAGTGACGCCATGCTTGTTTACATAATGCATAAATAATGACTTTCCAAGAATTTGCAGAATAATTTGAATATTATTGGTTTCATTTATATATCAAGAATTATTAGTGTAAAGAAAAAACATATTTATTGAATAATAGTTCATTATAATTTTATTAATTTTTTTATAAAATCCAGTTAGAGTTGTTATAAACATTGTAATTACATATACATGAAAGTCATATTAGAACTCTAATTCATTTTTGCATGACATGTCATCCCTCTCTCTCTCTCTCTCTCTCTCTATTTCTCAATATTAGAAAAATATTAATATATTAGAATAATGTTAAATAATTCTGTAAAATATTTTTCACAAAATTCTGTACTTATTTAAACAAATATAAAAAGAAACTTTTAATAATTTGATAATTGTGTAGAAGTTATTTTGCAAAAGCAATTCTTACTAATGTTGTTATATTTATAAAAATATTTATTTTATTATATAACAAATAAAATAAACTCATATTTATTTATATTTATTATTTCCTGTTTATTTTTTCATCATTAAACAATCTCCTTATTATTATTTATCTACTACAATTTTCTATTATTCATCTGCTACAATTTATCTAATTTCTACAAATAATTCTTAAAAAAATTTATGAATAAAAAGAGACTTCCATTAAAATAAATTGGTAAGAAAGTTTATAATGAAAAATATAAATAAATTTTATTTAATATTATATGAGACGTATGTACATTTATCTAAAAAAATGCAATCTTTATTTTTAAACAAGATAGATAACTGAATGACTTATTTTCAATATATTACTTATTAGTAAATGGACTTATTGTAAAAATTTGATAGAAATAAATTAATTGTATGTTAATTTAGCCTTTGTAATATTACTTTTTTAGATTAGACGATTTTTAATATTAAATTTAATATTAGATATAAATTATATATATTTTCTCGGCGTTTACAGATTATAATTTTTTAAAATATTTAATAAATAAATTAGGAAAAATTGCTCTACATGTTTAACCAACAATTCGCTCTAGCGGAAATTTTGGGTACAACATTAATGCGTATATGCGATGATACGGCAGAAATCTTCTTTTCGACCTTTCCAGTATAGACATCTATACTAGTGAATACACAAATTTGTAGAGAAAGTATTTCATTTTTGTGATTTTTAATTTAAAACAATTTACTAGGTATAAAGTTAGAAATATTAATCTAATATGTATATTTTGTTACATACTTTTACTATAAAATAATTATAAAGCTCTTTATAATTTGAAATGTATAATTTTATATACTCTTTACTTCTTCGTCGTTGTTGCTTGTACGTTAGATGTCACTAAAGTGTTTGGAATAAGCGCAGCAACTCGCGCAGCAATTAATTATTAATACAATATGATGTTGTTAATTGAAAGAAACCTAAGGAATTTTCACAATTTTCGAAAAATTTTCTATATCTCATAAGTATATAATTTCAACCAGATTTTTCTATAAAAAAAAGTTAATGTAAAAAAATAGAAAATTGAAAAGTGCGTAAGAGCTATACAAATATAATAATACAAATACATTTCACAATATTATTATTAGAAATAAAAAATTTAATAAATATAATAAATATATATAGTTATGGAGAAATCAATAGTTTCTACAAACAATAAGATTTGTTGCTATAAATCTGCAGTAATCATTTAGCTCTGAGTTAATCCGCATGATTCTTGAATGACGCCAGACTTGTTTTTATAATGCATAAATAGTGATTTTCCGAGAATATACGGAATTTGATTATATCTGTTTTATTTGTATGACAAGAATTGTGTAAAATATGAATAATGATTGAAAAATATATTATATAACATTATTAGTTATTTTTATTTTATAATGGCATGGGGTGAGATTAAAAATTTTAAATATTTATCAATTTAGTATGCAAATATTAAGAATGTTTCTATAATAATTATGTTGAATTCTTGATTCCATCATAATAAACATTTATATTGTTACCTGTTATAAAGAAAAAATGAATTTTTGATATTTTAATTGACTTAATTAATTGGCATTGCCATGAGAAAAATCGACAGATTTAATAGTATTGTAAAACTTTATCTAGAAATATTTAATCTTTTCTAGATAATCTAAAAGCTTTTCGTTATTCCATGTATACATTTTTTAAATTTAAAATATTGAAAAGTTAACATTAGTTTTTAAGCTATATAAAACTTTATATAATGTGAGATGAATTTTTTAATATTTTTTCTATGTGATATATACCTCATTCAACAAAATAACAAAGTTGTTTCTCTTTTATTTATTCATTCACTTCGCAGGAAGATCTATTTTTTGTGGTTCTGACCGATACACAGATCCGCAGATTCGCACGAATTCTAAAAAAAGAGCGTGCAATAGCACGCGTGTGGATGAAAAGGCTAAAGGCAAGCAGATCTCGATGTATGGGAAGCACGATGTTTGATGGTGTGATAGCATGGTGGTACCTGGGGCGACGTGGTATTATATTATTGATCGTTCCACGAGCTCTGTCCCCATCAGCTGTCGTAATATCCGGCGTTCTCCTGGTACTACCGGGTTGCATGCTAACATAGTTGTCTAAAAAAATCATTCGCGTTAGATTGCATTATAAATACATGCTGCTTTGCTATGTTGCTCGACCTATATCAAACCCGAATCTGTTGTGAAATTTTTTAAAACCCCAGTATAAAGATTAGTAGATAATTATAAGAATGAAGAAAACATTTCTATACTCCAGTGATACACTGGTAGGTTAGCATGATTTCATCATTACAAGTTGTCAGCATTCGAAATAATTCATGAAAAAGGAGGCTAGGTAAAAAGCTAATGAGAGGGTAGAAAGAGACAGAAACAGAAAGTAAAGAGAGAAAGGAAAGGAAGTAAGAAGAAAAAAAAGGAAAAAAGAAAAGGAGCGGAGAGAGAGAGAGAGAGAGAGAGAGAGAGGGAGGAAGAGAGAGGACAGAAGGAAGGGGTACAATCTTCCCTTCTTGGACACTTTAAAGTGCCTCTTCCAATATCCTCAGCTATGCTCTACTTCTCATCTCCTTCCGGTTGGTCTACTATTCTGAAGGTAATATCCTGCTATCCTGAAACCTTAACGTGGCTTGAACTCTTAGTGTCGTCGTCCTCTATAGTCTCTCAGTGCGCTCTCTCTCTCTCTCTCTCTCTCTCTCCTGGCATCTCTCTGCATGCCTCTTTCTCTTCGGGATCTCGGCTCAAGTCTTCAACGTGTTACTAATACCACGAGGATTAATGTTATGTGTGCTGGGCTTACTCTAACTATTAATTTAATTAGGAGAACAATACCTTCTACGTACTACTATCAGGTAGAAATACGTTTTTGAATTCTTAGAATAAAAAAAGATTATTTTATTTTAATCAATTTCATCAATTAAAATTAAAGCGGAAAAAGTTTAAATCCGGCTAAATAAGCAAAATTGTTTTCATAATACGCATTAAAATTTTTTATTTAAAGAATTATTTTATTCTTGCAAAATACTTGAAGTTTACAATCTCATTAACAATTAATTATTTTATATGACACTTATATACATTTTTATCGAAACAATTTGTATACGCTATTTCTAAGTATTGCATTTGTATTACAATAAATTAAGTAATATTCTCTGCACATTGATATTGACTTAAAAATTTTTGTATAAAATAATTCTACTAAATAATAAAAATAGCATGATATCACAGAGAGAGAGAGAGAGAGTACATTTATTTCACTTGTACAATCAAGACATTAATATCAATGTCGGTTGAGTGTGAGAAAAATCAAGTTAAATTACTTTTCCTTGATGTTTTAAATGCATCTATAGCCCAAAATCAGTATAATTAAAGATTACTGCAGCCCGCGATAACATCCAGGCGTAGCTCACCGGTTTGACTGACGATCTTTCAGACGGCTCTGCAGGAGCACGCTATTCGCAAGCGCCGAGTGATATTTATCTCCAAGTAATTAGGAGTTGGGCTGGAATCACGCATGCTCATCCTTCACCGTGGCAAACGCCCGTTGCCCTGTTCCATGCATAATGCCGAAGGCAATGATTATTTAGTTTCATCCCATTATCGAGAATTTCTATCTGCGAGAAGATCGAAATTTTCTCTTGCATTATACACGACGATATCGCGAATAAAAATTACCATAAATTTTAATTGAAACAATTACCCACATATTTTTTTACTTGTGCAAGTATGTTTACTTGCACAGGTATTGCATTTGGGATAACGTTTCGCACAGAAATTTAATGTAGATTTTGAACATTGTCTCTCTCAAGGAATTATAATTATTACAACAAATAACTAACAACAGATAAATGGCAATGGCACATTTTTCCTACGAATACTTAAGAAAGAAGAATACTTCCATTAACTTTCATTCCCGTCATGGAAATTTACAAAGTACCTGCACGTTCAAATAAATCTTTCTACAACGGGAGTATGATGGCATGCCACTGACTTATTTATGACCGTCTTCTGTTAGACGAAGGGTTGGATAAAGGGTTAAGAGCGAAACAATGCCTAGACCGACAGTGCTTTGATGCGACCAAAACAGTGGGAGAAGTCGAGTCGGAAATCACGACATGTACTAATTTTCCTATTTTCCGTTACAAATACTTAAGATTCGGAGCAAAAGAGGTTGTGAATGAATATCTATATAAAATCTTGCTTTCTTGATTTTTATAAAATATAATAATTACGCATTTTAATACATTTTTTAAAATAATTTTCATGTTAATTACCGAATCTGTATACAACTCATTTTAGATACATAAAAATATGCTAATGCTGCATTCCGATATTTTAATCTTTTTGTTAATCTTATGCTCTCTTTCTTTCTTTACAAAGAAATCTTGTAAAATCGTCGTTCCTCGATTTGATAGTGTTTAATTAAATATCTAGGAATAATCTCAGCATTATCCATCGTTCACGCGAGTGCGATAATGCTTCGTGCAATATTATTCACGCGCTCGGTTCTTGCGGGCGACGATAATGGTAATCGTCCTGTCTCCGTGTCGTCCGCGAAGGTTGGCTGCTCTCGGTCTTCAACGTGATCAGAAGAGCGGGAGCATCCTGGCCCTCCCCTTAGTAGCCTC